AATCCAGGGAACCCATCACAATGGTTGTACTCTTCAAGTCACTTGTGTTGTCCCGTCTCGAGTACTGCTCAGTACTCACTTCCCCCTTCAGAGCAGGAGAGATATCTGAAATAGAGGGAATACAGAGAACATATACGGCACGCATAGACGAGATAAAACACCTAAATTATTGGGATCGTCTCAAAGCTATCCAAATGTACTCTCTAGAGAGGAGACGAGATAGATACCAAATAATATACACATGGAAAATACTGGAGGGTCAGGTCCCAAATCTACACAGTAAAATAACAACGTACTGGAGTGAACGATATGGAAGAAAATGCAAGATTGAACCAGTGAAGAGCAGAGGTGCCATAGGCACAATCAGAGAGCACTGTATAAACATCAGGGGTCCGCGGTTGTTCAACGTCCTCCCAGCGACTATAAGAAATATTGCCGGAACAACCATGGACATCTTCAAGAGAAAACTGGACGGTTTTCTAAGAGAAGTTCCGGATCAGCCGGGCTGTTGTGGGTACGTGGCCCTGCGGGCCACTCCAAGCAACAGCCAGGTGGACCAAACTCTCACAAGTCGAGCCTGGCCTCGGGCCGGGCTTGGGGAGAAGAAGAACTCTCAGAACCCCATCAACCAGGTATCAACCAGGCGCCTACTGTGATACACCCAGCCCGGCGCCCACTGTGACACACCCAGCCCGGCGCCCACTGTGACACTCCCAGCCCGGCGCCCACTGTGACACACCCTGCCCAGCGCCCACTGTGACACACCCAGCCCGGCGCCCCCTGTGACACACCCAGCCCGGCGCCCCCAGTGACACACCCAGCCCGGCGCCCACTGTGACACTCCCAGCCCGGCGCCCACTGTGACACTCCCAGCCCGGCGCCCACTGTGACACCCTGCCCGGCGTCCACTGTGACACACCCAGCCCGGCGCCCCCTGTGACACACCCAGCCCGGCGCCCACTGTGACACTCCCAGCCCGGCGCCCACTGTGACACTCCCAGCCCGGCGCCCACTGTGACACTCCCAGCCCGGCGCCCACTGTGACACTCCCAGCCCGGCGCCCACTGTGACACTCCCAGCCCGGCGCCCACTGTGACACACCCAGCCCGGCGCCCACTGTGACACTCCCAGCCCGGCGCCCACTGTGACACACCCAGCCCGGCGCCCACTGTGACACACCCAGCCCGGCGCCCACTGTGACGCACCCTGCCTGGCGCCCACTGTGACAAACCCAGCCCGGCGCCCACTGTGACACACCCTGCCCGGCGCCCACTGTGAGACACCCAGCCCGGCGCCCACTGTGACACACCCAGCCCGGCGCCCACTGTGACGCACCCAGCCCGGCGCCCACTGTGACACACCCAGCCCGGCGCCCACTGTGACACTCCCAGCCCGGCGCCCACTGTGACACACCCAGCCCGGCGCCCACTGTGACACTCCCTGCCCGGCGCCCACTGTGACACTCCCCGCGCCGACTGTGACACTCTCTGCCCGGCGCCCACTGTGACACACCCAGCCCGGCGCCCACTGTGACACTCCCTGTCCGGCGCCCACTGTGACACACCCTGCCCGGCGCCCAAAGTGACACACCCAGCCCGGCGCCCACTGTGACACTCCCAGCCCGGCGCCGACTGTGACACACCCTGCCCGGCGCCCAAAGTGACACACCCAGCCCGGCGCCCACTGTGACACTCCCAGCTCGGCGCCCACTGTGACACTCCCTGCCCGGCGCCCACTGTGACACTCCCAGCTCGGCGCCCACTGTGACACTCCCTGCCCGGCGCCTACTGTGACACACCCAGCCCGGCGCCCACTGTGACACACCCAGCCCGGCGCCCACTGTGACACTCCTAGCCCGGCGCCCACTGTGACACTCCCTGCCCGGCGCCCACTGTGACACTCCCTGCCCGGCGCCCACTGTGACACTCCCAGCCCGGCGCCCACTGTGACACTCCCAGCCCGGCGCCCACTGTGACACACCCAGCCCGGCGCCCACTGTGACACTCCTAGCCCGGCGCCCACTGTGACAATCCCAGCCCGGCGCCCACTGTGACACACCCAGCCCGGCGCCCACTGTGACACACCCAGCCCGGCGCCCACTGTGACACACCCAGCCCGGCGCCCACTGTGACACACCCTGCCTGGCGCCCACTGTGACACACCCAGCCCGGCGCCCACTGTGACACACCCTGCCCGGCGCCCACTGTGATACACCCAGCCCGGCGCCCACTGTGACACACCCAGCCCGGCGCCCACTGTGACGCACCCAGCCCGGCGCCCACTGTGACACACCCAGCCCGGCGCCCACTGTGACACTCCCAGCCCGGCGCCCACTGTGACACACCCAGCCCGGCGCCCACTGTGACACTCCCTGCCCGGCGCCCACTGTGACACTCCCAGCGCCGACTGTGACACTCTCTGCCCGGCGCCCACTGTGACACACCCAGCCCGGCGCCCACTGTGACACTCCCTGCCCGGCGCCCACTGTGACACACCCTGCCCGGCGCCCAAAGTGACACACCCAGCCCGGCGCCCACTGTGACACTCCCAGCCCGGCGCCGACTGTGACACTCCCTGCCCGGCGCCCAAAGTGACACACCCAGCCCGGCGCCCACTGTGACACTCCCAGCTCGGCGCCCACTGTGACACTCCCTGCCCGGCGCCCACTGTGACACTCCCAGCTCGGCGCCCACTGTGACACTCCCTGCCCGGCGCCTACTGTGACACACCCAGCCCGGTGCCCACTGTGACACACCCTGCCCGGCGCCCACTGTGACACTCCTAGCCCGGCGCCCACTGTGACACTCCCAGCCCGGCGCCCACTGTGACACTCCCTGCCCGGCGCCCACTGTGACACTCCCAGCCCGGCGCCCACTGTGACACTCCCAGCCCGGCGCCCACTGTGACACACCCAGCCCGGCGCCCACTGTGACACTCCTAGCCCGGCGCCCACTGTGACACTCCCAGCCCGGCGCCCACTGTGACACACCCAGCCCGGCGCCCACTGTGACACTCCCAGCCCGGCGCCCACTGTGACACACCCAGCCCGGCGCCCACTGTGACACTCCCAGCCCGGCGCCCACTGTGACACTCCCAGCCCGGCGCCCACTGTGACACTCCCAGCCCGGCGCCCACTGTGACACTCCCAGCCCGGCGCCCACTGTGACACTCCCAGCCCGGCGCCCACTGTGACACACCCAGCCCGGCGCCTACTGTGACACACCCTGCCCGGCGCCCATTGTGACACACCCTGCCCGGCGCCCACTGTGACACACCCAGCGCCCACTGTGACACTCCCTGCCTGGCGCCCACTGTGACACACCCAGCCCGGCGCCCACTGTGACACACCCTGCCCGGCGCCCACTGTGACACTCCCATCCCGGCGCCCACTGTGACACTCCCAGCGCCCACTGTGACACTCCCTGCCCGGCGCCCACTGTGACACACCCAGCCCGGCGCCCACTGTGACACACCCAGCCCAGCACCCACTGTGACACTCCCAGCCCGGCGCCCACTGTGACACACCCAGCCCGGCGCCCACTGTGACACACAAAGCTCGGCGCCCACTGTGACACACCCTGTCCGGCGCCCACTGTGACACACCCTGCCCGGCGCCCACTGTGACACACCCTGCCCGGCGCCCACTGTGACACACCCTGCCCGGCGCCCACTGTGACACTCCCAGCCCGGCGTCCACTGTGACACACCCAGCCCGGCGCCCACTGTGACACACCCTGCCCGGCGCCCACTGTGACACTCCCAGCCCGGCGTCCACTGTGACACAACCAGCCCGGCGCCCACTGTGACACACCCTGTCCGGCGCCCACTGTGACACACCCTGCCCGGCGCCCACTGTGACACACCCTGCCCGGCGCCCACTGTGACACACCCAGCCCGGCTCCCACTGTGACACACCCTGCCTGGCGCCCACTGTGACACACCCAGCCCGGCGCCCACTGTGACACACCCTGCCCGGCGCCCACTGTGACACACCCAGCCCGGCGCCCACTGTGACACACCCTGCCCGGCGCCCACTGTGACACACCCAAACCGGCGCCCACTGTGACACTCCCAGCACGGCGCCCACTGTGACACACCCAGCCCGGCGCCCACTGTGACACACCCAGCCCGGCGCCCACTGTGACACAACCAGCCCGGCGCCCACTGTGACACACCCTGCCCGGCGCCCACTGTGACACACCCAGCCCGGCGCCCACTGTGACACACCCTGCCCGGCGCCCACTGTGACACACCCTGCCCGGCGCCCACTGTGACACTCCCAGCACGGCGCCCACTGTGACACACCCAGCCCGGCGCCCACTGTGACACACCCAGCCCGGCGCCCACTGTGACACAACCAGCCCGGCGCCCACTGTGACACACCCAGCCCGGCGCCCTCTGTGACACACCCAGCCCGGCGTCCACTGTGACACACCCAGCCCGGCGCCCACTGTGACACACCCTGCCCGGCGCCCACTGTGACACACCCAGCCCGGCGCCCACTGTGACACACCCTGCCCGGCGCCCACTGTGACACACCCAGTCCGGCGCCCACTGTGACACACCCTGCCCGGCGCCCACTGTGACACACCCAGCCCGGCGCCCACTGTGACACACCCTGCCCGGCGCCCACTGTGACACACCCAGCCCGGCGCCCACTGTGACACACCCTGCCCGGCGCCCACTGTGACACACCCTGTCCGGCGCCCACTGTGACACACCCTGCCCGGCGCCCACTGTGACACACCCTGTCCGGCGCCCACTGTGACACACCCAGTCCGGCGCCCACTGTGACACACCCTGCCCGGCGCCCACTGTGACACACCCAGTCCGGCGCCCACTGTGACACACCCTGCCCGGCGCCCACTGTGACACACCCTGCCCGGCGCCCACTGTGACACACCCTGCCCGGCGCCCACTGTGACACACCCTGCCCGGCGCCCACTGTGACACACCCTGTCCGGCGCCCAGTGTGACACTCCCGGCAACATCAATCACAGACAAACAGTTCCACAAGTGACCACTGAAGTAGTGGATGACGAACAAGCCTCAGGAGATGAAGATGAAGACGATGATGAAACGGAAGAAGAAGAGGAGGAGGAAGAGGAGGAGGAAGCAGAGCACAAGCGAGGGTCAGGGGAAGCACACCAGATAAGGGAAACGAAACCTGTACAGACAGATAAGAAAAAAGGCCACCAAAAGAAGCAACCTGAAAGGTCACCATACCCCTTCAGAGCAGCAGTACACCGAGAACTTCAACAAGATCTTGTAGATCTGAGGCAAAGTGAAATTGTCACTAGTAATTCCATCTATCATCATACTATCATGCAAGAGGAGCCACACATCTATGGATCATCCAATAAAATCAGCAGACTTCTAGATGTTACTACTGCTCGGCTTAGACTCGGTTACAAGTATCTCTGGGAATTCTCATTATCTGCTGATGTAGACCTGACCAAATGTAAACTGTGTCAACAAAATTATTCGCACACCCTCCGTCACTATGTGATGGAGTGCGAAAAGATACGTGAATTTAGAGACAATTCTATAACCAATGTTCCAGTGATGTGTAAATATTTCATTCAAAATTATCTGTTACCAGAAATTTTAGTCAAATATCCCCAGTAATAATTGTAGTAAGTAATTAAAAAGTAATTGCAAAGCTCCAGGTACCTCATGCCAACGTGTCTGAAAGGTCTAATAACTGGGCATTCGGTGATGTAGTGTGGGAGATCATGAGGTAGTTCCTGCTCACAGAGTTTGCAACTGGAGTGCTCAGGATTAGGAGATCCGTCACCTGCAGCCACCTGCCACAGGTAACGGTAACCCAACCTGATCCCTGCAACCACTGTGTCGCACAGTCTCGTGGACGTTTTGTGCTGCCCATAGATATAGGTTTCAGATCTGAACAAATCATAGCTTTTTATACTAGTGCTTTTAGGTAGTTGGGAGTCAGTAATTTTTTTCCTATCAGACCTGAGTGTTTGGACCAATACAGTTTTGACTTTCCCCTTTCCCCAATACAGGGGACTTTAATGCACACCATGCAGTATTTTTCAATGACACCAATGGACGAGATGACATCAAAGGTCGACTATTATAAAGCCTCATGACAGCGGGAACTTAACCTTCTTGGGTCCCTACTTTAAAAGTAACCAAGTAACCCTACTTGGTGGTTACCTTTGTAGGTAACCACCAAGGAAAACCTGATATTATACTGACGAATGTTGAATGCAATATCTTTCGCAGTAGAATACTCCCAGGTAATGATGTGGGTTCAGATCACATACCTGTTATTCTCCACCTCCAAGCATCCTCCCTTTAGAATTCTGGGACGCCCCAGACCCAATCTAAACCACACTTCGACTTCGTCCATATATGGAGTTCCTTGGCACTGATCCAACCGCTGATCTTGACAACCAACCGGTCCAGGACATTGACGCAGTAATTGCCTCCATACATACTCGCATCACTGAAGCAACTATGGCCAATTGTGACCTAACTAACACCAGAATAATTCAGCAATACAAACCGACCAGAGAGATCAAGGATAAAATGAGGCATTACCAACAAGAATGTGTGAGGCGCCTACGCCATCGCTCCAAATCATTCAGTCCCTCAGACGTGAAGTCTTAGGCCTCACGCTCCTTCACAAACGTCATATTTGGGGTACACTAAGTCAACCAAGCGAACCAGTACAAGAGAGAACCTGCCAGAGTCTGGGGAAAGATCAGACAACTCCTAGGATCGTCAAAGACGCCGCTGTCGCACCTCAGCTATACATATACTGATGACAACAATGAGGTAATGACCACCAGAGTGGAAGATGCACACCTGCAGGCTAATCTTAGGGGATTAGTTTGGGAGGGAATCTTTACAGAAAACAACAGGCAAATTAACAATGACAACCACCGTACAGTCGACCAATGGGTTGCTGAAAATGTAGAGAACCTGTCTAGCAGGCCTCTAGTGGACACCGCACTCCTTGACCCTGACCACCCGATCACTCGACCCATCACCTAACGGGAGCTGATAGAAGTATTAAAGAAAACGAGGAACAAAGCGCCAGGTTTGTCAGGAATAACAGTCAACCAACTGAAGTTTCTACCTCTAAACTACCTGCAATCCCTGATCAATGTCTTCAACACCATCCTCGTCTCAGGCCACTACCCACAAGTATTTAAAACTGCCAAAATGATCTTTATCCCGAAGCCAGGCAACAGCAAACATGTCCCTGGAAACTATAGGCCTATCTCCCTGTTGGAGTCGACAGGAAAGTGCTTTGAGAAAATACTATCAAATCGTATTAACTACTACATGGAGTACCACCATCTGTATACAGAAAAACAGTTTGGTTTTAGGAACCACAGATCAACGCAACATGCCATCAACATCATTTATGAGGCAGAACGCCGGTATCAGGAAACAGCACCAGACAGCATTAATAGCAACCAGAGATGTCAACAAGGCCTTTAACAGTCTATGGCATAATGGTCTGCTCTTCAAGCTGCAATCCTTACCACACCACAACTGGACCCTCCTAAGACTAGTTCAAATAATTCTAAGCCATAGAACAATAATTCCAATGTTTAACAACAAGGAAGCTGAAGCCTTTATCCCGACAGCAGGAGTTCCTCAGGGATCGTGCATCACCCCACTCCTCTTCAATCTCTTTGTAAACCATTTGCCACACCCTATTGCCACACCCTATTGCCACGCCCTATTGCCACACCCTATTGCCACGCCCTATTGCCACACCCTATTGTCACGCCCTATTGCCACGCCCTATTGCCACGCCCTATTGCCACACCCTATTGTCACGCCCTATTGCCACGCCCTATTGCCACACCCTATTGCCACGCCCTATTGCCACGCCCTATTGCCACGCCCTATTGCCACGCCCTATTGCCACACCCTATTGCCACACCCTATTGCCACACCCTATTGCCACACCCTATTGTCACGCCCTATTGCCACACCCTATTGCCACACCCTATTGCCACGCCCTATTGCCACGCCCTATTGCCACGCCCTATTGCCACACCCTATTGCCACGCCCTATTGCCATACCCTATTGCCACGCCCTATTGCCACACCCTATTGCCACACCCTATTGCCACACCCTATTGCCACACCCTATTGTCACGCCCTATTGCCACGCTCTATTGCCACGCCCTATTGCCATACCCTATTGCCACACCCTATTGTCACGCCCTATTGCCACGCCCTATTGCCATACCCTATTGCCACACCCTATTGCCACACCCTATTGCCACACCCTATTACCACACCCTATTGCCACACCCTATTGTCACGCCCTATTGCCACGCTCTATTGCCACGCCCTATTGCCACGCCCTATTGCCACGCCCTATTTATAACGACACTATAATCACTCAATTCACGGACGATGTCATCCATGTAGTGTCGTGGATGCCTGCTGGCCAAGGAACTAAACACGAGTCAGTCATAAGGAAGACGAATGAGGAACTAGCAGCCACAGCTAGTTGGGAACAAGACTGGAAAATCGTGACAAACCCTAACAAGATTTAACTGTGCTCAGTGGGCAGCTGGGCTAGTACACTCGGGGTCATCAACATTGGTGGCACGTTAATACAGGTACACAACTCCACCACAATTCTGGGCTACGTAATATCGAGACTTTTGAATTCTACTGAGCATATCAATAAGAAAGTAGCCTTAGCCAAAGCACAACTAGCTCGGCTGTGCAGATTCAGGCAAGCCCCAACGCATGTACTCAGCTAGTTGTACTCACCTAGTTGTGCTTGCGGGGGTTGAGCTCTGGCTCTTTGGTCCCGCCTCTCAACCGTCAATCAACAGGTGTACAGGTTCCTGAGCCTATTGGGTTCTATCATATCTACACTTGAAACTGTGTATGGAGTCAGCCTCCACCACATCACCCCCTAATGCATTCCATTTGTCAACCACTCTGACACTAAAAAAGTTCTTTCTAATATCTCTGTGGCTCATTTGGGCACTCAGTTTCCACCTGTGTCCCCTAGTGCGTGTGCCCCTTGTGTTAAACAGCCTGTCTTTATCAACCCTGTCGATTCCCTTGAGGATCTTGAGTGTGGTGATCATGTACCCCCTAACTCTTCTGTCTTCCACCGAAGTGAGGATTAATTCCCGTAGTCTCTCCTCGTAGCTCATACCTCTCAGCTCGGGTACTAGTCTGGTGGCAAACCTTTGAACCTTTTAATTTTAGTCTTATGCTTGACTAGATATGGACTCCATGCTGGTGCCGCATACTCCAGGATTGGTCTGACATATGTGGTATATAATGTTCTGAAAGATTCCTTACACAAGTTTCTAAAGGCCGTTCTTATATTAGCCAACCTGGCATATGCTGCTGCTGTTATCCTCTTGATATGAGCATCAGGGGACAGGTCTGGCGTGATATCAACCCCCCAGGTCTTTCTCTCTCTCGGACTCTTGAAGTATTTCATCTCCCAAGTGATACCTTGTATCTGGTCTCCTGCTTCCTACCCCTATCTTCATTACATTACATTTGCTTGGGTTAAACTCTAACGGCCATTTGTTCGACCATTCCTGCAGCTTGTTCAGGTCTTCTTGAAGCCTCAAGCTGTCCTTCTCTGTCTTAATCCTTCTCATAATTTTGGCGTCGTCAGCAAACATTGAGAGGAATGAGTCTATACCCTCTGGGAGATCATTTACGTATATATCAGAAACAGGGTAGGTCCAAGTACAGAGCCCTGTGGGACTCCACTGGTGATTTCACGCCTGAAGTCACCAGTGTAGCATGTGAAGCTACATCTATACAGAATGCTTACTGGACTTATCCTGGAATACCCATACATCCCGCTTGCTCTTACTAAACAGTCATATATGTTGAAACTTTAAAGGGTTCAAAATAGAGCACTCAGATTTGTAGCAGGAGTGACACTTGCTGAGAAAATTCGGACCGACAGACTCCACATCCAATTAAAGATAGAACCGTTGAATAGACGCCTCCACAAACTCTCAGTAAAGCAGGTATACAAAATGAAGTACACCAACTTACCACATGGTGACGACCCCTTTACGGTATACAACACTACTAACTATGAGACACGAGACCAGCCCCACAGAACAAGGAGGATGTCACTACAACAGAGAGTCAGCCACGGCCCAGGATACTTAGTTACCCAACACGTGAAGAGGATGAGGAATGGGAACCTCCTGATCCATTATACACCTAAGAAGCACGAACTATGAACTAACAAGTCAACATCTGACACCAATACCTCTACCAACCAGAACAAAATCATTGTATACATCACCTACAAGCTCCCCTACCAACCACACATCTGCAAGTCACCACAACACTGCTCTCCAGGTGCGGCACCAAGACTATAACTGTCTCCTCGCAGGGCAACTTTTCTCCTCAAAGCCAAAGTGGTTGGGTCACTGCCCTGTCCTCCCCACTCTTTGCACAACCTCCTGATCCTCCTTCATGTTTTCCTAAATCCTTCGCGTGCCTCTTCCATCCCTGCTTGCCAGCTCTTTGGACATTTTCGCTTCGCCTCGGCTCCTGGGTCCTCGCTGGTACTAGCCACACCGTACCATGACCTTCAGAGTTAAGGTTCCTAGAGAACCACGCATTCAGACGAGATGAAACACTCACCGCCGCGACCAACACCGTACCCGACGATATCCAGCAGGACGACGAGGGTGTCGTCCTCTCTGGCTCCTCTGAAGACGACCCTGAACGCCTGTTCACACCTGCCGCCACGTCTGTACACTATGAAGGGACCATCTTGGCCAGGAGAGTCAACTCGGGGATCACCCAGCACGAGGTGGACGTCATCCTGGACAACATCAACTCTGAAAACGTCAACATGACAGCTGTCTCAGCCAAGATCACCACCACCACCAACAACCACACTCGCTCCACCTTGAAAGTGACCTTCACTACATCTGCCGCAGCGGACCTGGCCGCCACCACCACCACAGGATTTAGGTCTTAGGCGTCAACACACCACTTGCTTCAGTACACATGGAAGGTTATTACGAGGTAAGCCAGTGCTACAATTGCTACCAGTACTCTCACGAGACCAGGAAGTGCCCTCAAAGTGTGAATAAGTGCAGAGTTAGTGCTCAGGACCACCACTATAAACAGTGTTGCGTCACCCGTTGTGTAGGTGATGACCATATTGCCATATCTCATCTGTGTCCTGTACGCAATGATGACATTAAGATGCTGCGAGAGCTGGAGGGGCTTCTGAGGCTCGCCGAGCTCCCTCACCGTTCAACTTGCCTGTAACGCTATGCGTATTAGTGGCTTTAGGTATTGTATGTATTTGCTCTATCTATAAATCCAACATTAGCTTTGTAAATCAACTATGTATGTACTTTTCCCGAATAAAAAATTATTCATTTATTTACTATTTACTTGCAAGCCGCCATTTTCTCGGAGCTCCCGGGAAAAGGAAACGCCCACCAGCGTCCCAGCCAATGGGGGCCCAGCATGCAGTCCGGCAGCCAGCCAGTCAACCAATCACCGACCCAGCCTTCATCACCACCCGACTCCAGCCAATCGTCGACCCAGGTTTCGCCACGACGGTTGCCGGATACTGCCAGCGACCTTAACACTACATATGATATTACATGTTTAGTGAGTAAAATTACTGGCTCCAATTACTGTGAATTAGTGAGGACTGTCAACCTCCTGTACGAGGCTGACGGTCTCCAGACCATTACCGTGCCTGATGAAGTGTTCTCCACCTCGGCCTCAGCTTCCACCTCAGTTCCTGACCCTGACATTACTGTAAACACTGCCACACAAAGCATGCATGCCCAAGTGTAGCACACAAACATGCTTTGCTGAATATTTTGTAAACTCCCAGGATGGGACACAGGCAGCCTTTATTGACCTAAAGTCAGCTTTCGATGTAGCGAATGGCGAAATAATATTAGAGCAACTTGCTGAATTTGGAATCAAAGGTAATCTTCTGAGTTGGATAAAGAGCTACCTATCCAACAGGCGTGCTAGTGTCCTATTTAAAGGAGTTAAAAGTACAAGAACAGATGCATTCGAACTAGGCACACCTCAAGGTGGTGTCCTAAGCCCTATGCTCTTCAATATACTTATGCACAAACTTATCCATGACATACCTGTACAACCTACGGAAACAGTTCTTTGTTATGCTGATGATATTTGTATTATGGCAAACAGTAAACCAAGGCTACAAATGTTACTTGATGCATTCTCCAAGAAAGTAGTAGAATGTGGCCTCATAATCTCTGTTGATAAAACAAGGGTTCTTATTCCCCATTCTCTTCATGCTAACTATACTATTAATGGAGTGCCCGTGGAGACTTGTGAGTCTTATAAATATCTTGGAGTCGAGGTTAATGATACAATCTCATCAGCAACCTGCGTAAAAAACTTGTTGAGCGTCTTAAACCTCTCAGAACTCTTGTTGGCAAAGGATTTGGCATTAACATAAATATGCTCGTAGTTTTTATATTGCCTTTATACGATCTGTTGTTGATTATTATGCCTTGCATCTTCTTAATTTTTCTCCTAAACAATTACAAGGCCTAGATGTAGTACAGAATGATGCCATGCGCATCATCCTGGGTTGTCCTAGAACTGTCAGAATTGTTAACATGAGAAAGGAACTAAACTTACCTTCCATTTACGAAAGAATAGTTCTACTTAGTACTATGTTTTGCGCCAAAACTTTGAAAAATAATGGTCCCCCCAGCTCTATTCAAATTAAATTGAGATCCATTCTAAACAATTCTGACTGTTCCCTCAATCCGCCGCAAAAAGCTCCCTACAGTGTGTGGCTCAGTTGTTGTGTCTATAATCTTCAGAAACTGAATGTATCTCTTAACCCTGATAAAACTGTTCACTATATTCCCCCTTGGAAAGATGTGGAGGTCTCTCTGCATTATACTCCCATCAGTGTAAAACAAATGTATAACACTGACATTTTGAGATGTATAACATTAGAAGCTATTGACAGTCATCTTCAAATTCTCAAACCGACTGAATCCTATGCCTTTACTGATGGCTCTGTGCAGTTAGGCACTGGTAGAACAGGTTGTGCATGTGCAGTGTATAAAGGAATGAAATGATCATGACTAGTACACAGAGATTGAACAACTGGGCAAGCACGACACAGACCGAGCTATTGGGTATTTATCTAGCCACTGAATACCTTAAGCTCAATGGTGGTGGAGTTATTTTCTGTGACTCTAAAAGTGCTCTGCAGTCCTTAAATAACCCATCACAATGTATGTCGGAAGTAGCTTGTAATATTAAATGGAATGTAATTTTTGCCAATGATAATAATTTTTGTATAAAATTTGTGTGGATCCCATCCCATGTTGGAGTTGAAAAACATGACTTTGTAGATCAATTGGCCAATGAGGCTTGCAGGAAAGAAAACATTGATTATAACTTTGGACTGTCTAATGCAGTTATTAGAAACATACAAATTAAAGAAATTAATTCAGATTTAGAAGAACTAAGAAATGCACAGAGACCTGAAAGCTGCAGTATTAAAAGTTATGACAAGTTCTGTAATAATAGGTATTTGTATGGTCAGCACAGTAACCGGACCAGGCAATGTGATGTAGTAATTGCGCGAATTCGCCTTGGCTATAGACACATCTGGCAGGTTAGTGAGGCTGAGCCACTACCAGAATATTCAGATTGTAAACTCTGTGATAAACCTTTAATGCATTCACTAGAACACTATATTGATGAATGTGAAACCGTAAAGGACTTTAGACCTCCTGGCCTATTGTACCACCAACTGTGTAACTATTTTATTGACTCAGGTGTTCTGGACGACATCCTAACAATTTACCCAAAATTTGCTTGTCCATTTTAAAGAGTGAAGAACAATTTCTATTTATATTCTAAGCTGCATCACTTATGAACCCATCCCTGCCCTTGTGTGGCAGTGCACAATAGAAAGTTGTTTTCACATATCCACACATTAAAACATTGATTGTAACCGTGATATATATGTGCTTCAGCCTACAGTTTAGACCTATTGTCTTATGTATGACCCTCTGTCCTGCGTGACAGTGAATACTAGCATTAACCTCAATTTAATAAGACTATCAAAATCCTCAGATTAGGCAAAATTGTAATTAATTTTGTCAATAAAGATGTTAATAATAATAATAACACACTTGTAGACCCGCTGTCTGTTACTGTTCCTCCCACTACACCACTAGCTGCTGACCCTACACCAGCTGCTGCTGACCCCACACCACCTGCTGCTGCTGACCCCACACCACCTGCTGCTGACCCCACACCAGCTGCTGCTGACCCCTACACCAGCTGCTGCTGCTGACCCTACACCAGCTGCTGCTGACCCCACACCACCTGCTGCTGCTGACCCCACACCACCTGCTGCTGACCCCTACACCACCTGCTGCTGCTGACCCTACACCAGCTGCTGCTGACCCCACACCACCTGCTGCTGCTGACCCCACACCACCTGCTGCTGACCCCACACCAGCTGCTGCTGACCCCTACACCAGCTGCTGCTGCTGACCCTACACCAGCTGCTGCTGACCCCACACCACCTGCTGCTGCTGCTGCTGACCCCACACCACCTGCTGCTGACCCCTACACCACCTGCTGCTGCTGACCCCACACCACCTGCTGCTGCTGACCCCACACCACCTGCTGCTGACCCCACACCAGCTGCTGCTGACCCCTACACCAGCTGCTGCTGACCCCACACCAGCTGCTGCTGACCCCTACACCAGCTGCTGCTGACCCTACACCAGCGGCTGCTGACCCTACACCCCCTGCTGCTGACCCCACACCAGCTGCTGCTGACCCCACACCAGCTGCTGCTGACCCCACACCAGCTGCTGTTGACCCCACACCAGCTGCTGCTGACCCCACACCAGATGCTGCTGACCCTACACCAGCTGCTGCTGACTCTACACCAGCTGCTGCTGACTCTACACCAGCTGCTGCTGACCCCACATCAGCTGCTGCTGGCCCCACACCAGCTGTTGCTGCTGACCCCACACCAGCTGTTGCTGTTGACTCTACACAAGCTGCTGCTGTTGACTCTACACCAGCTGCTGCTGACCCCACACCAGCTGCTGCTGCTTACCCTACACCAGCTGCTGCTGCTGACCCTACACCACCTGCTGCTGACCCCACACCACCTGCTGCTGACCCCACACCACCTGCTGCTGACCCCACACCACCTGCTGCTGACCCCACACCACCTGCTGCTGACCCTACACCAGCTGCTGCTGACCCCACACCAGCTGCTGCTGCTGACCCCACACCAGCTGCTGCTGCTGACCCCACACCAGCTGCTGCAGCTGACCCTACATCAGCTGTTGCTGACCCCACACCAGCTGCTGCTGCTGACCCCACACCAGCTGCTGCTGCTGACCCTACACCAGCTGCTGCTGACCCTACACCACCTGCTGCTGACCCTACACCAGCTGCTGCTGACCCTACACCAGCTGCTGCTGACCCCACACCAGCTGCTGCTGCTGACCCCACACCAGCTGCTTCTGCTGACCCTACATCAGCTGCTGCTGACCCCACACCAGCTGCTGCTGCTGACCCCACACCAGCTGCTGCTGCTGACCCTACACCAGCTGCTGCTGACCCTACACCACCTGCTGCTGACCCTACACCAGCTGCTGCTGACCCTACACCACCTGCTGCTGGCCCTACACCACCTGCTGCTGACCCTGCACCACCTGCTGCTGACCCTACACCACCTGCTGCTGACCCCACACCACCTGCTTCTGACCCTACACCACCTGCTGCTGACCCTACACCACCTGCTGCTGACCCCACACCAGCTGCTGCTGCTGACCCCACACCAGCTGCTGCTGCTGACCCCACACCAGCTGCTGCTGACCCTACACCACCTGCTGCTGACCCTACACCAGCTGCTGCTGACCCTACACCAGCTGCTACTGACCCCACACCAGCTGCTGCTGCTGACCCCACACCAGC